TATATATATATATATATATATATATAGCTTTGCATTATCTCTTTTATTTCTAATATGGTATGAATTTGAAACCTATTACATTTGTTTTTTATAGATGCAACATTGAAACATTGGGTAAAGAAATATGGTTGGAAAGAAGAAACTAAAATTATTATTTTTATTGCAAATCAAGATGAGAACATCAAGACCAAGAACATCACCGAAAAAATTGATTTTGAGAATGTTGCAGGTTTGATGGCTGCGTGTCTGTAATTAGTGATTATTTTATAATAAATTAATTGATTATAAAAATAACTTCTATTCTCATCATGTATCCGTTTTTAATATTGTTTTTTGTAAAAAGACATACATATATCACAATAACAATATTTCTATAAATGGAAGATTTTTTATAATTAACTTTGACATATTTCAGACGAATTCTCTGTATCATGTATTCTCATTGCTTCGTCTTCTTTTATACCATTAAATTCTTCATGGAATTTTACACTTTCCTGTGTATCATCTTTCTCAATTTTTGTCGTTTCTCTATCACTATACTCATCTACGATACTTGTATTGGATCGCACGTTCTCTGTATCATAAGAAGCGGATAAAGCAGCCTGAGTTTCCGCTGAAGTATCGTTCTTTAAAATTTCGCGCAGGGCCATTGTAGCGTAACTGCTAGATTTCAAGCACATTTCTATAATCAACGCTTTATTTTTTCCATCTGAAAATACATATTTACATAATATGATACATAATATGATTTATCTAAAACGCACATTTTGAATAAGTGTAAAAAATAATTTACTTAGTTTATCCTGTGGAGATGGAAGCTTCCTTATTTCCTCGATGTCTGATAGAATTAGATCATCATGTTATTTTCATAATGCATAATTTTCCAGGATAGATTTGTCGGGATTTCCAATATATTTCTATAGGCTCCAGTCAAGCTGTATTTTCTATAAGAAGATAGATGATAGTAATAATTTATTTATGTTTGCAAATAAAATCTTACTTACTTATTGTTTTGCTTAAGATCAGTAGTTAATCCATCTTTGGTTAAAAATTCATCAAACCAAGCCTTTGCATATGGCGGATATATAACTTTCCATCCGGGTTGAGGCATAACTACGTCCGCCAGAGTATAATTTGGTAAATCATTTTCGGTGAGAATTTTCACTACTGGGAAATCATCTTGGTTCGAACTTTCATTATTTGCTTCAGTATCTCTTTCCTCAATAGAGGTATCAGTTTTATCTTCAATATTGTCATAATCCGTAGTTTCGTCATTCATAGTCTCTTTGCAATTCCGCCTGTCATAAACCAAGTCACCAACGATTACATCTGTTCCGAATTCTTTCATCCTTCTCGACACGACGTGATTCCAAACGAAGCTCTGATAAGCATGAATGTACATTAATCGAATGTTTCGAGGGATTGAGTCTAGCACGCCTAGAGGATTTTTGCTACCCTGTGTTTGTAGACTTTTCAAAAGTCTGGCTTCGATCTTATCGGTTCTTTTGAGCTTTGCGTAAGCGGCATGAGCATCCTTGGTTTCTGCATAGACTTGTCTGGCTTCTGCTAATTCATTATCTTTTTCTGGTCGTGGTTTTAAAATTAATTCAATTGCTTCATGCCATTTACCTAATTGAAAAGATATTGCGATATATACAAATCAATTAAAAGTATTACATAATAGAAATAATAATCACCCTGAAGTAGACATTTCCCGATTTCGTGTGTGGGTATAGTAGGTATCGTGCCGAATCTTTGTAAACCATAATAATTAATAAAGCCAGTGTCACGTAACGATATCATTGCTTGCTCAATCTTCTCATCTGTCTCGCAAGCGTTCCTCAATGCTATCCTAAACTGATTACCACGTAGCATGCCTAGTTTCAGGCTATCCTTGGTATATTTAAAGTTTCCTACATACGCACCACGCACACTTTTACTTGCTCTCAGTATGTCACGCGGCTCCACCTTTCTTAGACTCATCCACTGAGTCGTCCACGCACGACGATCTTTTGTGCCAGCGTAACAAAAATTATTTGGCTGCATTCGCAAACTCATTGCCAATTGATTCACAACATCTATCGTATCCATATTCACTTTATGTAATAAAAAGTGGCAATAATCACCGCCGCGTCTCTTCCAATCTACTCTCTTGTCTCTACGCACCTTTTGATCTAATACAAAGTATATATCAAGAGTTATATAGAGACCTTTTTTCTTTATCTAATTTTATAAATATTTTATAAAATGAAATTTACAACTTACCATTCTTATTGCCTTTAGTATTTGGCACAATTGTAAGAAACTTTTTGTCATCTTTATCTATTGTTTGGCTGACTACGTTCGCTAATTTCTTTGCAATTGCATGAATAGTCCTGCGTTCAACTTTGTCAAGATTAGTTACATCAATTTCCACGGTTGAAGGATTCTCCTCTCCCAAAGCTTGTAGTTGATCCCAGATCGTCGACGATACCAGCGTCTTCAGATCTTCAATACTTTCATTGTCACAAGGTTCAAGTGGGATGTCTTGATGTGTCAGCTTTGCCACTTGGCCATCAAGATCAATCTCGTTAACATGAAAATCATTGTACCTCTCTTTAATTATTGCAGAGAAGCCAAGATGCTTGCTAATATATTCTGTAATTCCTATGTCAGCTTCTTTCAGTCTGTTGCCGACATCCAGTTTGCTTCTCTTTACATTTCCTTGTGGCGATCGCTCGAATGCACGTTTGAAACCCCTTCCTCTAGACTTGTTTTGAAAACCACCTTTAAAAAAATAACTCTCAACAACTCTGCAAAACTGAATTGTTTATTATCAAATAACAAATTAATATACCTCTCCGCCTTGATCCACGAGCATAGCGATTGCCGGCAGAACCTTTATCTGTGAGAGCAACATTATTAGCGGACATTACGTTTGACAAACGTAATTACAGATTTGTAGATTTTTTTAAACAATAGTTTGTAATCACTGCGCCTCTTGTAATGTAAAATATAAAATTCTTTTTTTAAAACTCCAGTTACTAATGCGTCGACATAAGGAACACACATAACCACGTGTCGCATTGCCTTGTTCTTCGTGAAGAACTTTTTATATTTTTTTATCTTTCTTCTTTTTCTTTCTCGTGTCCGATTTTATATTCTTATTTTATTTTCTCTTAAGTATAGAAAGTGTAAGTGCTATAGTGCAGAACTAGGGAGGAAGAGAAATTGTGTTCTTTTTTGACGTTGGAGCGTTACGCCATCTCGTCAAAGTTTTCCACGCGACAAACTAAGATCGATAGTCGCATTGCAATTGTACGCATCGAGATATTAAATTTCAGCGCAAAATTACTTGGTCCAAAAATGGAGTCCAATGAAAGAGTGATTCTTGCAGAATTAGCCGAAAATAATATAAATATGAAGTATATGACGTAAAATAGATAAGAAAATAAAATCATAAATATTTATTTTATAAATTGCACAATAATTTGTACTACAAATTTACTTCAATTATATATATTTCAAGAATGCATTTATTCACTACTTTTCGCTGACATCTTACTCTCTTTTTCAATTCTTTTGCTATTTTCGTGTTTCTAAACATAAAAAAAAGAATATTAATTTTTAAAATACTTTATACAGTAAACATATAAAATGTAAACTTACATGAGAATTGTAGAAATAGATTGGATATTGACAATTCAAACAGAAATTTATAAAAAGATATATCGTTCTATCTTATCTCTGATCCGCATATCTAACTGATACATTTTATTGTTTATAACAGGAAAAAAGGATGGCTACTGCGAAAGCGAAGCGTAGCTGAAGCGCATGACAAATTCCTTCTTTGTCCGAAGATGCCCCGTGAGTAGTCAGTGTTGATCGCGTGTGAAAATACTCGGAGGGTACGCGTTGCTTTTTTAGAAAGGAGCGAATAATAAATCACGGAATGAAAGCTCGTGCGGAATAAAAAATAAGAAAGGATCAGAGTTGAAATTAGCTAAAAAAAAATGTCGAACTATCACGAGTCGTATGAAAGCTTTCTTTTTCTTTTAGAAAATATTCTTTGAAAATCGAACAAGAGCATCCAGGGATGATTTTATATAAACAGTCCCATGATAAAAATTCGCACCGCAAAAGAAGAAATCCTGCTCGAGGCGACGGAAAAAACCTAGCACAAATAGCGGTCCTAGAGAGAGAGCGGGTGAAGGGAAGGGGGCATACGCACCCCCGCGGAGTACGAAACGATCAGGGTGGAGAGGGTGACGAGAGGCAGCGCGTACGCGTGCGGATTACTACGTGCGCGGGGGCGTAATGGTGGGGGAGGGAGGAAGGACGCGCCGCGTCAGTTCAACGCGAGCAACGGACGAGTGCGGGTCGCGCGCGCGCGCGTTCGTGCGTGCGATTCACCGTCGCGATTTTGCGTCAGTGGGTGTAATCGACGTACGTCGACGTCGTCGTGTGGCTGTCATCGACGTCGACGACGACGACGACGACGACGACGACGCCGCCGCGACGTGTTCGCACGTCCGACACCGTGATCGCTCGGACCGTCCCTCTCGCGACACCGAAGAGACTCCGTGTCGCCGATAATCGCGAGTGGTAATCGTCGTCGCCGGGCGCCTCGCATTACGCGACACCATCGCGAAGCGTCTCGCCCCGCGCGATGTTCGCGCGAGTGCCGCGAACTTAGCCGCGTATCATACGCAATTACGCGCGCCGCGACGCGACGCGACGCGGGAAAAACCGGATGCGCGTGCTGACAAGGAGCGGGGGTGTCGACGCGGGATGAGCGCGAGAGAAGTTACCCTCTTTGGCGGGTCCCCCTGGGGCTTCCGCATGCACGGTGGTTGTGACACGCATCAACCCCTGCGCATCTCCAGGGTGAGTGAACGTCAACGATACCTTCTGTCGCGAATCACGTGATCGCGGAAGGAAGATAATTGCATTCTTGTTTTATGCGAGGAATAGACTGTATCCTCTTCCTTCGCGATAATGTGCATAATTGCATATTTTTTGAATCAAATGCATTTTGCGAGATATTTTGGGTATAAATTGTGTATAAACAAATTATATTAGTATTTTTTCGTATTATACAAATAACATTATATTAAATTTATATATATATATATTATTATAATAATTATTAATTTATATATTATTTTATAATGTTATATATATATATATATATATATATAATTATAATATCAAATTATTAAGAACACACATACATATACAAAATATACATAACGAAATATTGCACGTCTGATCACTTCATGCATGATGCTAATTGTTATTAATGATAGTAATTAGTTGCTGTAAAGCAAGATGCGCCAGTTATGTAATTTATATGCAACGCAATGCATAGAGAATGAAATAGTATATGTAATCATAATTATGTTACATTCCGAATTTGAATATTTGATGAAGGCATATTGCTGTAATCGTTAATTAACGAATATCGTATTACTATACAGCTCGATACGCAATTCCGATTCATCTCATTATTAACATCGACCAACACATTCGACATACCGATACCGAATTTATTCGTCGGGATATCTCCGCGAATTTGTCGCGCCTCACGCGAAAGTGCCGCGCATATAATTTAGATAAATAGAGAAAAAAGAAAGAGGATGGTATTCTCGAGGATACGCGCTTCTCGCTCGCGATCATCCAATTTGGGCCGCATCTGCGGCTTACGTTTATCAACTTAAGCGGTGAAACGAGATAATCGCGCCAGTGGAAAAAGTTGCATCGATCCGTCCGTCCCGTGTCGTGCGGTATACTTTTATCACTGAACGCGCCACCGTAATTTTCTTCGCGACCACTGCAAATCCGTACCTACTTTCGTATCAACTTCATCATTCTATAGTCGATTCTTCCACACAACTTATGAGACAAGAATTATGTCCTATTTTTACAGAGATAATTATCGTATTCCGTAGTCGCGCGGCTCGATACGTTGCGCAATTTTCAACGGTTTGCTACCGTAATTTTTCTCGTTGATTATTGCGTACCTACATTCATATTAATTTCATACGTCTATAGACGAGACTTTCAGCTAATAAAACGAGAAATTCGTTCTATTTTTTTATGTAGAATATCATTTTATATTCAAGATATGTTATGCAAAGTCGCTATTATAATTTTTATCACGGCCGTGACAAATCCGTGAACATTTTAAATAATGATTACGATACACGTTTCCTTTCTATATAAATTTCATTCTGGAAACAATATTTTTAATATATGAGAGTAAAATTAATTATTCAATTTTTTTACGAAGATACATTTCGATGAATCTTTTAGAAATAATATGATATTAATATTAATGTTATTTTAATATTATAATTTAAACAAATTTTTCTGATTTGTGAGAATAGAAAGTTTCTATGTTTACGAAAATACATTACATAGTTGAGATGGCATGTTAAATAATTTTCAAACGCTCGATTAGAAAATCCACATAAGATAAGCACGGCGGCTTCCTGTTTGTCTTAATGTGATTTAAAATGAAAGCTTTAATTTATTCGATAATGTTACACGTAATCACTGAACGATACGTATAATCGCGAGATTCTGAACCGCCTGCGGCAGTTGTAAAAAATATCAAATCCATTCGATAGTTACGATATGGTTGAGCCATGAAGGTCGGCGACAAGAAAGCCTTGGCATGACTTTCTTGCCTCTTTCTATCTGTCGTCACGTGCTTTCGTAATATCGATCTATTCGACGGTAAGTTTTTGTTTTTATTGAGTCTATAACGAAAATAACGAGAATTGGAGCGATATGGTTCCGTGGAGATGCAGTCGTTCTGGCACACGGGATCATTCTTGTTTTCTAAATTTTCCGCGGTTAAAATTAGCGGTTAAAATTAGTTTGAATATCGAATATTCTCGCTAGCAACCGCGATCTTTAAATTCTTCATTCTTAAAATTGACTCGCTCCTGTGTGTGTGTGTCAACCGACTATATCTCTGGATATTCCAGGATTGCAGTTGCAATATACAAGGTGGTTTCAATCAGATTGATTGATTGTATACGATTATGTATGTTACATATAGCTATGGCCAAACTTTTTGAAAATACTCTGTACTCTCAACTAATCGAATTTCGATTCTATTCCGTGCGAAGCGAGTCGTGCCTGCAATTTTTCGCGTCAGAAAAATTTTTTTCGGTGTCACTTTCGAGGATATTTCCCACGTGCAACTCGCTCGCCGCCGTTACGACGACACGCGATCTTTTATTATGTAACATAGGTGATATTGTGACGCGGCAAATGATTCATAAACGTTACAAGCGCGCAAATTGCGGCGCACGCCGTGAAATAGAACTTTGTTTGAATTGCATATTATGCGCGTGACATGAATATAACATTTACAACGCTGACGCGCGATATTCGCTTTGATCGCGAAAACATTCGTCCGTGGCCGTCGCACGGGTCAAAGATCGCGCTAAAATTGCAACAGTTCGCAGTATTTTCAGTTCGGTGTAGTCTATCACGTCGGCATTTCCACAGTTTCCTTTGATAATGATAGCCTTACTGCTTTAAGGTTCGCTCACATATCAAAGCGAATAATTTCTTTTTAATTTCCTTTTCGGATGAAGAGAGGATTTAAGATGCTTCTCTTGGATTATATGACGTCAGAATATTTGTCGCAAGACAAATTGACAACGTTCGGTTCTTACTCTTATCGTAGGTTCCCACACTTTTCAAATTGTCACTGAATTCCTCTCTAGAATACTGATTACTCCATATCTAACATTACATTATAAGTTTAAAAAAAAATCGACTGTTTTCAATAGATTTTTTCCATCGAAACGCCAGGCATCAAAAAATTTGCCTACGTATAGAAAAATATTAAAAAGACGGTGGTTTGTAAAATATTCGCTTTTTTTTTGCTGTAATTCGTTTTTACCCTCGAAAATAATAAATTTGAGAATTTTACCTGGTAACAAAAATCTCGTGTACCAAGTTTGTGTTTTTAAATTTATGAAGAAAATATTTATTTTATAAACGAATACATGAGGAAACTATGAATTCTAAGGATATATGGGGCAAGATTGATTTATTATATACGTAACAGGTTCGCGCAATCTCAAGTTTGCCTCCAACGAGCGGGCACTGACGTGAAGATTACGCGCTCCGACACGTGTGTACACAGCTTAAATTCAAGGCTTAGCTTCGTCCGATCGGTTAATGTTGCTCGACGAAGAGGTACAACGACGTTCTTTCACATACGATCCGTCCAAGTGCTTATCAGTGCCGTCTGTGCAGAAAATTATTCTCTCTCGAGTGAGCAGCACGTGTTCATCATTAACGTTTCGTATTGGTTTCGTATTACAAGCAGGATATATATCATTGAATCGAGAGGAGTCCTGCAACAGTAGTTGATCCGCAGAGTTATATAATCTTAATGAATTCACGGAAAAAAAAACTTGTGCGAGCTTTGAGGAAAGATAAAAGCAAGATACACGATACAACCTAAGAGAAATAAAGTGTTTGATGTCGATGGAGCGGAATAACG